TTTTCAAAAATTCCATTAAATTTAAATCATAAAACATTATTTAATTATCTTGAATTAAATGATTTATTTCAATTAAATAAACCAATTAGTTGTCATTATTTTATACGTGGTATTGAACAAAAACAATTATATAATAAAGAATTATATAATTTAAATATTTCAACATCATCTGAATTAATATCAACTTATTTACGTGAACAATATGGTACAAAAATGTTTATATCAACTAATTCTTCAATTGAAAAATATGATAATATGTCATTTATAACAGGTTTATTTAATGATGATGAATATTCATTTAAATTTTTTGATTATTTATTAACTAATATGAAAAAAATTAATTATAAAACTTTATCTCAACGTTGGCAAGAAAATGATTTTGATGAACAAATATTTGAACAATTGATGAATAATTTAAATACTTTACATGAACAATATCAATTGATGAATATATAAATTAAACATATTTTGTTTTTCTTTTTGGTTTTAATCATGCATTTATGAGATGAATTGTTTTGTTTTTTTATTTTTCAGATTGAATATTTTATTTTATTTGAATGTACGTGTGTTATCAAGTCGAAGACGGTCGAGATTTCTAGTCGTCGAACACTTTTTAAAGGTAATTTATAAAGAATATAATTAGACATGCACTACATCCAGGTCATTGAATTTGATCCTGACTTTAATCGCTTTTCAGTTAATTATTAATAAGAAGTTACAGTACTCGACAAGAAAATACAGTTGACTGCATTAGTTCTGACTATGTTAATTTCTAGTTGAAATAAATCTTTTTTTTTAATGCGCTCTTAACACAATGCTTATGCTATATATAAAGGAAAAAATTAGTTTTTTTGTTTCAATCAGTATAAACAATGTAAAAAGAGGTTTTTTTCTAGTAGTATTAACGAGCTTGAAGCATTTTGTACGAACTATATGATCTTTAATGTTCTCCTTCTCGGCAATTCATTACTCATACTTTGCCTATTCCTCACGGTGATGTGCTCAACAACTCTTACTGTAAATGAAAATGCAAAAAGTAATTTTACCGTCAAACTTGTAACAGTAAATACTGAAATGATCGCTACCCACATAAACGTTTAGAACACATTAAGCGTGAAAATATAACATTTGATGCCAATCTTACACAATCATGAAAGATATCATTCTTAATGAAAAAGTGTTTGACTCTATTCTGAATCGAATCTCGATCTGAAATTTTTCTGTTAATCAGATCCGCATACGAAAACTCTGGATCTGACAAGCCTTAGTCCTAAGACTATTTGCCCATATCTACGTTTGAGATTTCGCCATGGAAGAAATGTAAGTGATTAGTAAAGAAAATAGATAAAGGATTACTATGAAGGAGAGATGTTTCTGGTGGCGCTGCGACTTTTGCGACGTCATCACCGGCAACTTTTTATATAGTTCATCGTACCACGGCGCCGATGCAATAGCTCTGTCTATTCTAGGATCGAAGTAGATTTTCAGCCATGATGAACATCTCTCTAGTGAATGGTCAGTGCTAGGAATGTTACTGTAATTTTATGATTCTTTATAATAAAGAGTAAATCTAAATAAGATCATTATGTTTATTAATAAATTCTTTTTTTTTTCGAAAGTAAAGATGAAACTTGTGAAACATGACATAGGTTTTCAATGTGCTCACACGTGAGCTATGGCTCGTGTCTGTCTCGTGGATTTAAGTTTGGCATCTATTTTTTTGATGTATCAAGTTCATTTTTTTAATAGTATCACATCACAGGAAGAAATCTTTCTTTTATAAATATAAAGATTAGATTTATATTTGTCTTATAAAATAAAAACAAAGTAACATTTGAAGTTAGTACTTGAATAAGGTCAATTGATTATTTATAATTAGAAGTATAAAAATACATTTTATAGCAATGAAAAGTATAGATCTTATCAATAGGATCTTTTTTTAATCCGTAAAAAATAGGATATGTCGATGTCGTGTAAACCGTGGTACTTCTGCTTGAGTTTTTTAAATATCTCACTGCATGACTATTTTAAATTCTTACAAAAATATTAGATTTCAATGGGAATCGCATTACTTAGTCGTTGTGAGCGCGCACAAGCAGACTGTAATAGCTACATCGGTTACGTCCGCTTAGTAAAGATGCTAACGCAAGAAATAGTACACTAAAGCAATAGGAAGAAGAGGGATGCCGTCTCATGTTGGGTAACGATGAACATCTTCAAAATGAGAATTTAACAGACAAGTTATTAAAAGAAAAGGAGAAAATCATCATTTTCTTTGAAAAATTAATGATATGAATGGGTTTTCATATCGCTCGCACGATCTTATGATCATTATGCTCAACTTCAATTCTATAAACAATAACTTTTTTCACTGTCTGCACCAGATAGTAGATAAATATTTGCTAGACATTAAGATCTACGATGTGCTTGGCTTTATTGCATTTTGTAATAACCTGTTCTCCCATTATCTGAATAGCTCGTATAATTTTTTGATCATTCATTTTTGAATAGATGCTTCTGCTCCATCAACATTCCTGAAATACACCATCATTAACTTAATATTGTAATTTCTTTTTTTGGCAAAGTCTTTCATTTCCATAATTTCTTCTAATGTGATATATATCACTTGCACATTGAGTAACTTGTAATCACATTGATCTTCTTTAATCGTGAATTCTAAGCTGAGGTACTTACATGTAGTGTCATACATATCATCTATGCTACATGATAGAAGGAAATAAATAAAAAAAAATTCAATCATGCATCATCATGTAAGAAAACTTTCATATTTTATTAATCGTTTTTCACATATTTATATCTTCTGAATGTCATCGAGTTTTTCAAAATAAATTTCAAATCATATGGTGACGCCATTAGTAAATATTTTTTCGATTAAGAAAGATACTTAGATTGACTTCAATCATGACTAATCCGTTGAGTAGAAGAATAGAACTGTCATGGTAGCTAAGCGACTGAAAAGCAATAGGTCAGATGTACTTTTATGAATAATATTCAAATGGATAAAATAAGAAGGATTTTTATTTAAACTTTGTCTCTAATATCTTCTGATTTTGAAGAGAAAACCTTTGTCTAAACATTGTATAACATGTATTTTCAATTCGAAACTAGTATTAATTACATAAGTTTTTATCATGAAATGACTCACTGAAGTGTTCTTAAGACTAACTATGTACTAGTCTCAATCCGATTGGGTACCAGTCAAAGATTGGATCTAGTATATAACTAATATAAATGATAATTAGTAATCGTAGAACAAGGATCAATAGGGATTACGAATAGACCATTGAGTTAGAATTTTGTCTGATAGATATCTACTTAAGATATTAACGAAATGAAATGATTCATATTGAGTGAGCGATCAGTTTTGAATGCCTTTATGTATGGAATTAGATGTTTCAAGTCTTGAAAATAACATTCGAAGTAAAACTTAAACCGTTTTAGAAGTCTGTGGATATGAACAGCGTATAAAATTAGAGAAGAAAAGCAACGAGATTTTCTTATCTTAAAATCTATTTTTTCTTTTAAGAGACTTTTTCCTTTAGTGTCTTTCCTTCCTGCACGAAATCAACGGAAAACAATGCCTATGACAGATAGTTGAAGATTAATAATGAAACCTTTTTTTCTTTACAACTAAAATTCAAGAACGAACGTTTTCCTGGAAAATAAACAGAAGAAAAAATTCATTGCTTATTTTCAATATTGTCTAGTTGATTGTTCAATTGACATTGAGCAAATGAACTCATTAAAAAAAGTAATAGAAGTACTAGATAAGAGAAACTTAAAATATATATTTAAGTATGACAACATAATACAAAAAAATTATTTCTGGAATATACGTATGTAATTATGTTAAAATAGTGACAGAAAGAAGAAGAAAAAAAAAATCATGACAGTAATAAGCGGACATGAAGGTGGTGCGTGATCAATAAACAAGCTAGGGAAGTGCATATCTTTTTGACTATGAATACTAAAAATTCTTCAATTATTTCTATTATGATTGTATCAAATACTTAACACATATTTTACGAGTTCTTGAGCATTATATAACTTTTTTATAATTTCATACGGTGAGTACAATTCAAGAAAGACACAAATAGTTGGTTCATCTATACATAAATAAAATAAAAACTCGCAAAAATTAAATTCATAAACGTCAATAAATTTTTTTTTAATATTTATTGAACGCATAAGTCAATTGTTTTCTTTGTCATATTGAGTATAGAATAATAAAAAAGAAGACCACAGACAAATTTTGCCTATATTAGCAGCTGATAGAACGTTTTTTTTTTCTATTGCTTTCATTATTCTTTTTTTCCCGCCGCTACAAAAATTAAATGACACGAATAGAGAGAACTCATAACATTGTGGTATCAAATGAAGCGGAATGTGAGATCAACAAACAAAATAAAAATGCATGACTAATAGATAATAAAAAAAAAACACAGAAATGAAGTAGAGAAAAGACAACGATCACACAAATATATTTGGTCAGTATATAATACGTTGGACAAGAAATTCTTTTTTTCTTTTTTCTTCTTTTGTCTCGTACTGAGAAAATCTTTTTCTTTCCGACGCAGAAAAAAAAAGAAAATTTGCATCTCGACGTGTGAAAAAAGAACATTGTTGTTGTTGTCATAGTTCAATCGTTGTCTTTCATTCTTCTATAATTGTGTAGCGTGCTTACACACATGAGACACTTATATAAAGCAAATAAAATGATTTATCATTTTTCTTTTTTTTCTTCTTGTCAGAAAATCTAATGAAATATTGTAAGTCTTAGAAAAAAAAAAGCGCTAAAATGATAATGAAAATTTCTTTAGACAAAGAGATAAACTTTTTTTTTCACATTTCTTCGGATGTTTTCGTTAATCACAACTTCTTCAGCCGCATCTACAAAGTATTTTCTATAGATTTAAATTATAAATCTGTTCTATTTTCTTAGGTCTTTCTTTTCATCGAGCTGGTATTCGTATACTTCAATGAGTAACGAAAGCTCGGCTACGAAATTTGTACTTCCTGCTAATACAAGCAATAGTACATCAACAACACCTAAATCATCATCATCACCACCACCACCACCGTTATCACTTCATTGTGATCAACAACAAATAAATATCAATGGAAATGGAATACTTAATGAGGGAAAATTAACATCAAACAATTATCAAAATGGTGTACTTTCTGATCTTCAAACGACATTCCAAGGTTCATCATGGAGTAATATTATTGATCCATTGAGTGGTACATCCGGTGATCATCCATTTGATGTACATAATGGTAATCGAATGTTTGAACCACAAACAACATCACCAACACCTCTTATGACAATGCAACAACAAATGTCTTATCAACAAGTAATTTTTGTTTTCGAATAGTTTTTATGAAAGGAGTATGAAAGTATAGAGATAAAATTTTCGACCTCCGACAATGTACATTTTTTTGTATGACACGCAAACATGTGATTTTCTTGCTCAGGAATAATTGGATATAATGGAAACTTTTGTTCTCATTGTTTTTGGAGAAAATTGTTTTGTATTTTATATCATTTGAGGCAGTTTAAAGTACTGATTTTGAATATACTATTTTTGTTGATGAAATCTTTTTTCTGAAAATTAGAAAAATTTTGATTTTTTGGAAAATGACGATGCAGTTGAAGAATGTTTACACTAACAAGAATTACAGACAGTAGATAGAAGAACATTTCGGCAAAGTTTAAAGGTTCAATGTAGAAGAATTGCTCATTTTCTGAGACTAGCCCTTCAGGCGACACTAGAAAAAAATATTCTTTTTTTTCTCAGAAACTAAACGTGCAATTCAAAAAAATATTTTTTTTACTATTGTATAGAGTTTGGCTTGGAGATTTAGAAAATTATCGTTTTTTTGAGAATTGTAACAAAGTTATGTATACCATTAGATTGAATTTTTCTATATTTAAATATTAAAAAAGTACAATTTTCATTTTTAGTCAAATATCTGCCTAGACTCACACAGTAGCGAGCAAGATGAAAAAATATTTTATCGCAGCTATTAGTCGCAAAAAAGATCAAAGTTTAGGACTTTCAGAAAAAACATCATTCCTTTTAAAGAGTTGGACAATAAGCGATATATAGTCTGAAACTAAAAGTTTTGCTCTATTAATTTATAGTGAAAGTTTTTGTTTTGAAAAAATAATTTTTTATTTTTTAATGCTAGACGTCTTTAGTGCAGCTAGCCACTACTTTTTCCCACTAATTTATTATTGACGAAACTTTCAGAGAATGTTCTTTTATATCTAGGACATGTACTCAGTTAGCGTTAATGCTGCTGGACTGAGATGCAGGTTTTCATATTTTTCTTTAACACGGAAGCAATTTAAGAGAAAAATAAAAACATATTTTGAATCAGCATGAAAAACTATTCATATAAGTCATGTCTACGTGCTCGATAGATATTGCCTACTGTGCATCACAGACGCCTTAACAATAGTGGCGGAGTCAGAACATTAACGCCTTCCTGTTTTGCTTTGCCAGGTGGTGCTCTCACTACGTGCATTGTGTTATCAAGAATACACGGTTCCAATAGAGTATTAGTACTCTCCACTATCTTTTTCGGTACAATAGCGAAGTTAGTATTCTAGTTTCGTTCTTAACTAGTCTACTAGTGACTTGTATCTTGAAAAACACACCCCGCATAGCACGACGGCGACACTGCCCACTCAAAACAAGAGTGAGTCTAGCGTTCGGGCTCTGCCGCTATTTAATAACACATACCGTCACACAGTAATAACGTCTCATTATAATATATAAACTACTTCGTTATTGTATTTCTGGATAATTAAGTAATGATGAAGAAATTTGTCCTAAAATAGATAGAACAAGACAATCTTCTTGTAATTGGCAACAGTCGTTAGATCGTGTTTCATATTTTAATAAGACAGAGATAAACGTAACATCTTTTGTTTTCTAAAGGCAATACAAAGAAGACCAATAACAGCAGCACATAATTTTCCAACACAAACTATTCGTAGTGGTAATGGTATTCCAACATTACCTATAAATGGACGATGGAATAGTCAATCGCCATCAATTGGTCCACCACCGCATATACAACAACAACAACAACCTCAATCACCAACATGGAATACATCATCAATTCCACATGGTTTTCCGGCAACATCGTATGTTAAATATATGATTTAATTTCTTATTAAAAAAAATCATTCATTTATAGATCTCGTCGTCCGGTACCATCATTAACAAATCCAAATATTCCAATGTCACAAACAAAAAAAGGACAAAATAATTTCTTTTCATTTCTTCCACCATCAACAAGTCAAAATCCAACATCATTAAATACATTACGATCAACATCAATAATAAATAATTTTCTTACAACACAAAATGGACAATCATCATCATCATCACAAATAAATAATGGCGATATTGGACAAAATTTTGCACCGATGAATGTAATTTAGAAAAAGAAAAAAAAAATTTCTTTATTATTTAAAAGTTTTGTCTTTTTGTAGTCGAGTGATGCATATGATATGAGTTCATTCTATCAAGCAATGGATATGATGCGCAATGTTTCAAATGATGGAGTTAAACGTGTCTATAGTGAAGATAGTGGAATGGGTAGCATACTTGATACAGAAAGTTTAATGTCAGTTGGTGGTCCATCAACATCATCAACAGCTTTATTTAATTCATCAACACGTATAATGCCAATAGATATGAATAAAGAAGAACGTTTTTCACGTAAAGTTTTTGTTGGAGGTTTACCACCAGATATTGATGAAGGTAAAAATTTTGTTTCTTTTGTTCGAAAACAAAAAAATAAAACAGTTTCTTATTGTTGTTTATAGAGGAAATTATTGCACATTTTCAAAGATTTGGTCCATTAGTTGTCGATTGGCCACATAAACAAGAAAGCAAATCATATTTTCCTCCGAAAGGTTATGCTTTTTTAATATTTACATATGAACGTTCAGTACAAGAATTAATTGATGAATGTGTTATTGATGATTCAAAACTTTATATGTGTGTATCAAGTCCAAGTATGAAAGATAAAGCTGTACAAATACGTCCATGGCTTTTAGCTGATTCGGATTTTGTTATGGATGGTACACAACCACTCGATCCAAGAAAAACTATTTTTGTCGGTGGTGTACCTCGACCATTACGTGCTGGTAAGAAAGTTCTTTGAATATTAGTTATAGACCGTTTATAATTGAAAAAATATTTCCCATTCCATAAACTTACAAGAAAAAAGTTGAGTCGAAGAAGCCATAAAGAGTTCGGATTTTTTGCGTATGATTACGATTTGTTTTTAATGTTCCAGAAAAACTGAGTTTCAAAGATTTTATCACTGTTTCAATCCTAAGATACAACTATGGTAATAGCATGTTTTTTTTTTTGCATCGCACTGGTAGATTTGATATTCTTATTTAAGGATAGAAGTAAATAAAAAAAACCTAAAAAAAACTTCATTTAAAAGAAATTGTAGAAGTGTAGTATCTCAACAAAAATAAGCTAAGAATACGAACTTTTTATAGTTCATTTGGGTCTGCATAATGTACATAATCTCGACTTGTTGGAAGAGTTCCCTTGTTAATTATTAATATGTTAGGAAGATGGATTCTTTATTCCTTATCTCATAAAGAAAACTTGAGAAAATTTCCTTAATATTATTCGTGTTAAGATTTTTGGTTTTCGATAGAAATTTTCAGTGTAACATACTAGTCTCCGCATCAAAATTAAAGAAGAATGGATGTAATGTCAACAACGGTAACAGCTGCTATTCTGTGGTTTTCGTCAATCAGATGAGAAGTATTTCGGACGTCTTTTTGTTTGATAACCTATAAGATCAAACTATTTTATAACCCATCATCTTGACAAAACATCCAAAGACATGCATGAAAACAATGTTCCATTTCGATGTCATTTTATTTCTGATAGACACTTCAGAGACAGCAACCACAGATGATTGTCTTCTCATATCGCAATATTGACCAAACACAGTCATGTATCTATTTAATCAAATTATATAGAATTCTTTTGATTGTTGCCTTTTTAACAAAACACAACTATAAGATTTTCACTATGGAACAGAATACATGTAGGCTTGTAGAAAAAGACTTCCTCTATTTAATGATGTATCTAGCTTCTTCTACTTTGTGCTGTTGACCTGTTAATAGATGGCACCATCTATTGGTATATCAACGATTTGCAATAGAAGTTAACAATACATTATTAGATAGAGAGAAGTCTATATATATATATATCTTTCTGTAGTCAAAAAACCTGTATTTGCCTTTCCCTGAAACGGAACTCCGTTGAATGTTGTACGAAGACGTTCAGAGTTCTTTTTCTTTAGATTGCTGAAAATCGCAGGTCATTAGCTGTTTATCGAATTATTTAATTCTAGCACAGACATTAATTTTAGTATCTACAATAAGTTTTTCTTTTGTTTAGTTGAATTGGCAATGATAATGGATCGATTGTATGGCGGTGTTTGTTATGCTGGTATTGATACAGATCCGGAATTAAAATATCCAAAAGGCGCTGGTCGTGTAGCTTTTTCAAATCAACAAAGTTATATAGCTGCAATATCAGCTCGTTTTGTACAATTACAACATGGAGATATTGATAAACGAGTTAGTTATCTTGTTCTTTTTTGTTTTTTTGTCTATTGATTATTTAATTTGTAAAATATTTGTTTAGGTTGAAGTTAAACCTTATGTACTTGATGATCAATTATGCGACGAATGTGCTGGCGCACGATGTGGTGGAAAATTTGCTCCATTTTTTTGTGCAAATGTAACATGTTTACAATATTATTGTGAAGCATGTTGGGCATCAATACATGCTCGGTCAGGTCGAGAATATCATAAACCATTGGTAAAAGAAGGCGCTGATCGTCCACGCACATTACCTTTTCGTTGGTAGAGAAATTATTACTATTGTTCTCTTTTTTGTCTATATTTGATTCTTTCGTTTTTTTTTTTCATTTTGTTTTGTGAACATTGCGCATATGTATGTCTTGTTTGTTTTCCATAAGGCCCAGCGCATTTGTTGGATCAATGTTGTTAGTGGAGGATAAGTCGTTGGATGATCTCGTATTTTTTTTTTGTCGCTTCTGATAATAACTTTATAAAAGAAATCAACACATTTAGATGTGTTTTACTCGTCATAGTTGATTATTCTTTTTTTTTCTTTCGTTTTTTTGTGCAATCTTTCTACATATATTGTGGGCTTTTTTGTTAAAAAAAAAACAAAAAAAAAGATTATAAAAAAAATTCTGTTCGCTCTATCTGTTTCTTTTCTTTTTGTGTTTCCGTTTATTTTGTACACAAGTTTTATTTTGTATGATTTTTTTTCGCTCTGTCTCTCTTCATTCATCTCAGCTTCTTCTTTTTTTTGTTTTTTTTTTTGTTTTGTCATTGTCATTTCATCTTTCTTCTTGTTTTTTTCTGGTGGGAAGCATTCTCGTTTTTTCTTTTCTTTTTTGTTTTTTTCATTTTGTTGTTGTTTTCGTTGTCATTTATTTAACCTGTTCGTCATTCTCTTTTTCTTTTGATATTCGATTATATTTTTTGTTTATTTATTTTTTATCGTATCATCATTATTCAGGCCGTGAAAAAAAAACATCGCATGTGAAAGAGCACATCTTTCCGGTGTAGTTGCTCTTTCCATATTTTGTACCTTCAAATAAAACAGGCAATCTGGCGAGCAGATCTTCTTCTAATAACAACACGCTTGTATGTGTTTTGTGGAACCTTTCTTTTTTTCTTTTCTCCTCATCTTTTTATTATCATTATAAAGACATTTGTTGGTGGTTTTTCTTCTTTTTTTTTTTTTGTCTCTATGATTCATCATTGATTGTTGTCGTTTTATAATTCGTACCATTTTTTGTTGTGCTGAACTACTATTGCCTATTTCTTCTTTTTCTTTTTTCTTTTTTGTTGGAATAAAAATCAAGAGAATCCATGAAAAAAAAACAAGATTGAGTTTATTGATCTTTTGTTCTTTTAATACGGATCGTGTAAATTATATAAACACATATTCTTATAAAGTATTTACATTTTGAGTGTGTTTTTGCGAGTGTAATATGACGAGCGACAAAGAGCACGAATAAAGAAAAAGTTTGACGAAGAAAAAAACAAATTTCGGATCACTGATAAAGACAAAAATACACATGATAGTTCATTTCTACACTCAATTTGTTTTAGATACCAAAAAAAAAAAATATGTTTTCGGATTCGTCAACTGCATCGTCGCGCACAGAACAAAAATCTACAGAGAATATAAAACGACGTCTTCAATCAGTACTTGGTTATAGTCCATATGGTATTTATTTTGGTTTTATACCATTTGTTATCTATTTGGGTTTTAAACTTGGATCAGATCCAGGCACACCTGATTTCTCATTGGTTAACTTGTTACCTATTGGTTAAATAAAACAGATGATAATTGTTGTTTTTTGTTATTGCCTTTTTTTTTTTTTTTTATAAAAGAACAATAAAATAAAACAGAAAAAGAGAAATACTTACTACCACCACCGGAAGCTATTTTTGTGCCTCGTTGTTGATGATGGTGATGATAATCATTTGATCCTTGTTGATTATTTGTTTGTGGTCTTTTTGTTTGTGATTGATGTCCACCATTACCATGAGAATTATTTTTGGGTACATATTTTGATTGTTGTTGCTGTTGTTGTTGATGATGATTACCAGGATATTGTGCGAAAGACGACGGAGGAGGATATCTATTTTGTTGTTGTGATCTTCGATCAACAAAATGTCCACCGGGATTTTCTTGTTGATTCGAATAATTTAAATTTGAATATTGACGAGAATTTTGTGCAGCTGGAAAACGTTGTTGAGAATGTATTTGTGATGAATTTTGTTGAAATGTTGCTCGATTTGATGGACGTCGATTGTCATGATGTGGACGCGGTGGTCGATGTTGTTGTTGTTGTTGTTGTCCATTTTGTCGAATAGATAACTGTTGAACACTGTTACGAATACATTGTTTAGGTAAAAGTGTAACAAGATTTGTTAAACGTTCATATAAAGCACGATCAAATAAACATGTTGAAATTCGTTTTGATACTAATGTTTGAATTTCAATTGTTTTTGTACAAAATATTTGACCAAATGAACTTGATTCTTCTTTCCAAATACAATCAGCATCATCCGCAGCATCTTGGGATGATAAACGATTAGAAAAAAGTATTGATTCAAGTGGAGATTTGATTAGAATTGGTTCATTCGATAATGAAGGCGAAACAATATTTGATGAATCATTTGTTGTTGATGATGTTGATGAAGGTGAACATGAGAGAAAATCTTTACTAAGATTATCAAGAGTTAAATCAGGGTGTTCAGATTCAGTTGGTGTTATAAACTTGTCATTCAAAGAAGGTGATAATTCATTTTGAAGATATTCATTTGCAAGATCGCCAAGTGAAAAGTCACCATCCCCATCATTGTTTATTGTATTCGACGAAGGAGCAGTTATTGATAGATCTTTATCTTCATTCAGTTGAGGATCTAAACAAAAAATTTAATAGAATATTTGTCAATTTGTATTTATGGAATTCTAATATTTGATAGTAATGTTTTGATAACTAAGAAATAAATTGCGTTGTGAAAAATATTGTTAACAGGATTTCTTCCAATAACTCACGAGAATATCTCACAAACGAGGAACTATCTTCGGTGTACTCTCCCGATTTCAATGAACTTCTTGCCGATAGATACTACAAAATGTTCTAATAGAAACCTGAGGTGTCCGCCCACCTCCGCTTTCCAGAGAACAGCTCATCAGAAAATTTTGAAATTTTCAGGACAAGTAGATCTTGATGAGTACAGCAAAAGCTATTATAGATTCAAAATTCTATGAGATACTGGAATCACAATGTCTTTAATTTTCGGTGATCATTTCTTTAAGATGTTATTTTTGATACAGTTGAAAATTTTTTACAGGTACTAGACACTGCTACGGTTACGTCTCTTTTTATTTTTTCTCCTTCGAATAAAAAAGACATAATATCGAAGGTATTCAAAAAAGCACATGGTTTTTTCATGAAAAAATTGTTTTGAGAAAAACCCGATATAATTTTTGATATTTTCTACTTTCGTTATGTAGATGTGATTTTTTCTCAAAATTTTAAAGACAAATGTTAGGTCCCAAAAAGCACTCAGTAAATAGATACTACTTAAAACTTTACAATGACCACAAAAAAAAAACTTCGAGTAAGAGAGTAGACTTTAAACGATTAGAATTTCTATTGAAATTTGACTGATCTATAAAGTTTTTTTTCTAGAGACTCCAGATTTCTGAAAAGTCGTATTTTCGAATTTTGATAAAGAACTTAGCTAGACTAGCTTCCATAAAAGATTCATAAGTTTTGAACAATGTTTCTTTGAGATATCAAGTTTTCAAAAGATGCATATCCATGAAAAAGAGTCAGTATTATGAAAGTCTCATATCTCTAAGAGAATTTGTTCAAAAGTTATGAATTTTTTTTATGGAACTTACTCTATTTGAGTTATCTATATGCACAAAGTTTTAAATCAAAATTCAAAAGCATAGTCAAATCTCAATTGAATCTGAAATCCTTGGTAGAGTTTTTATTTGAACACTATTTAGTATCTATAGAAAAAAAAAAAGCAATCATTGAAATCAAAAGGGGACAAGATGAAAAGCTTTTCTGTTTAGCCTCCGTTCTAGCATAAAATTCTAGCTTTGCCCCTGTTAACATTATAGAAACATCAAAACTGTGTTGTTGTTAAACTTTTTCCCAATACCTTATCCTAAAAAAAATACAAAAACTTTTGTTTCTTTTGATTTGATAAGAAAACAAAAAATTTCAATAGGAAATAACATACTAGAATCAATTGATTTAGGTATTTGTTCATTATAATTAACTTGATTTTCTTCTACTAATAAATTTTGTCCCATTATAACAATATGATTAAGAAAATCTCGTTTATCATCAGATGATATTGGTGATGATAGAAGTATAAATTGTGCAACAGCAATTAATAAATCTATTTGTTTTGGTTGTTGCTCAAGAAATTGTGGTTCATGATGATATTTCTCAATAATTTTTTCTAATAAATCCTTTAATTGTACACGTTTTAATGTTAAATTATCATCAGTAAAACCAGGCGGTGGTTTTGATGAATATTGATCATCAGAAGGGCAAGCAGGCATGATTTATTTTTGTTATGCTTTTAATGTTTTGTTTATAAATAGAATTTGCTAGAAGAAAAGAAACAAAAATCAACCTACTACTACCTAATATTATTATTTTTTTGAATATGACTCATCTTGTCAATATAAAATTTACATTTGCATATCTATGTTAATGTCGCTAGAGTATATTGAATGGAGACAAATGTAATATTCTTATGGAACCAATCGAAAACATCTATTTTGACTCAGCAATATTGAGTTCATTTTTTTTTCATTTCACATTATTATTTCATTTCACCTAAATAATTCAATATGGGATGCGATGGTGGCACAATACCAAAACGTGATGAACTTGTACGACAAAAGAAAAAGGCTGAAGTGAAAGATAAAAATGCAGCTAATATGGCTAAATGGCGTCATTGTACTTTAAAACATGATACACTTAAACAACCTATTGTTGTTGATTCACATGGTCTTTTATATAATAAAGATGCTATATTAGAATATTTACTTGATCGTATGCAATTTGAACATGGACCATCATATATTAAAAAAATGAAAGATGTTAAAGAATTACAATTAACAGAAAATTCAGCATTTAAATCAAATCATAATGATTTAGGAAATGAATATTTAGATGTTTATTCATCCCCATTTATATGCCCATTAACTGGTTTAGAAATGAATGGTAAATATAAATTTTGTGCTATATGGACATGTGGTTGTGTTTTATCGGATCGAGCACTTCGATCAGTTAATAATCATACGGCAAATGAAAAACTTTCGTGTCCTAAATGTGGACAAGAATATTCATCAAATGATGACGTAATTATTCTTAATCCAGAAAATGAAGATATTATTTTAATGGAAGAAAGACGACAACGATTAAATACAAGTCAAAAAAAGAATGGGTCAACGAAACGAAAATTACCTGAAATAGAAGAAGATACAAATGAAAAAAAAATAAAAATTGGTAAATAATCAAATTTTGTATTTTAGTTACAGTTAAATTTAACTTTGTCCTCTCTAATACGAAACTTTAAACAAAAAAAGATTCGACAGTGTCCGGAAAGCTTTCTATCGAAAAGAGTTCATTGCGGTTTAACCAAATCGAGTGGTTTCCTTTTTTTTTGGATAATAGAGAAGCATTAGACGTTTTTATTTATTAATACTTCTGAAAACTATAACTTTCTGATCCGATATTCTTTATTTCGAATTTCGAAAATCGAATAGGCATATTTTTATATTGAATTGCGTCATTCTGGAATTTTACCCGCATAGATGTTCTTTTGTTATTTTATACTTATTTACATTATAATTTTGAAAACTCTTGAGTAATTACTACCCTTCGTCAAAGCAAGTCATTATTTGCTCATCACAAAACTTTCATAAGAAATCAATTGATAAAACTAATACGATTTTCGAGTTTCTGGAGTCACCAAATTTGAGACTAATGCACATTGGATATTATCTGAACAATCGAGAGACTGCTTTTGCAAGATTTGAAGAGCACTACATATACTTCGAAACTATAAAGTATTAAAAAATTTGTTACAAAGTTTCAACAGAATGAAAACAAAACAGCGCCATCTGTCAAATACACTTTAACAGAATCCATGAAAGTGACAGTCAAAAACAATATACGCAATAAATTTACATAATGTTTTGCTACGGAATAATAAAAATAAGTGTTCGTTTGTCAATGATTTTCCCTAAGAATAAAAGGCAACTATAAGTTTTCAGTGATTTTTAACTGTAGACTGATCAATTGATTTTGAATTTGGACTCTGTATATAAAATAGATTCCAGTAAGATATGCAAAAATTCCAAGAGAATAAATTCCTTTCGATCTTTTATCTAACGTTACATGCATTTTATTGAAGTTTTAGTCTATGATCTAGTATATACCCAAAAATAGAATGGGGTTATTTTGACCTAAGACTTTGCTCACTATCAGATCTATTTATGAGTAAAATGCTTTAAAAATTTCAGTTCAAGAGAATTTTTTGTTTTTTGGAACTTTAGTATCACCGAAAAAAAAACATTATTTTCAGCTGAAATTTTCACAACATTCTACTCACAAATTGATCTGTCTGTGGGCGAAATCTTAGGTAGATATGTCATCATTTGATTTTTTGGTATATGCCATGCCATAAGTTGAAACTGCAATAAAATGCTTATAACTCTGAAGATATTTATCCTATTGGATTTTGTCATATCTCGCTGGAGCTCACCTTACTATTTGAGTTCAAACCCGAAAAGCAATAAATCAGTTGAAAATATTCGTTCGTCGGAAATTTCGAAACCTTCTTTGATAATCAAATTCATTTTTTTACTTTGAATATTTCTTGTATTCTTAAAACTAAATTCTTTATTCTTTGTTTCTAGATTCAACAGCAAATGCAGATGTTCCATCGTCATCATCAACAATCAATAAAAAAGTATCAACAAGCAAAGTTAATACATCAAAAATTGTTTCAACAAACAAATCAACCAGTGAGAAATCATCAATTCAACAAGATTCAACTAAATCTGATTTATATAAATCATTATTTACAACAAGTGATGCTGCTAAAGAAAAAGAAAAAAACAAAGCTCATTGGATAACTTACAATCCACTTTATTTTTAATTATTTCATCTGTACAAAAAAAAAAAATAAATATCTTGATTTTGTTTTCGTTTCGTTTTGTATTTAATAAATAAAAACATTTATCTATCCTGAACTATTTGTTTCGTATTTCTAGATGTATATGACTTGTTCGAATAAGTAAAAGGAAAAAAAAAACAAATGGATAAAGTGAAAATAGATGATAATCTTCCAATACCATCATCATCAACAGCTAATGTAGTAGTTGATGAAGCTGAAGGTATATGGAGTGCTGATATTGAACAAAGTTTTCTTGAAGCACTTGCTATATATCCTCCATGTGGACGACGAAAAATAATTTTAACTGAGGAAGGAAAAATGTATGGACGTAATGAATTAGTTGCACGCTATATTAAAATTCGCACAGGTAAAACACGTACACGTAAACAAGTATCATCACATTTGCAAGTACTCGCTAAACGTCGCTCAAAAGAAATACAATCATTACGTAATGATAAAGTTGCACAACAAGTTATACTTGAAAGATTAAAACAATATACATCAGCTGAAATTGTTTCAATGAATAATGAACAAATTAATAGTGATAATGATTCATTATCATCAGATAATGAAGTACAAAAGAAAAAGAAGATAACTAGTCCAATTAAGAATCTCCTTCAACCCATTCCAATTGATGAACATTTAGCAAAACCAATACAACCATCAACTATGAATGTAGATCAATTCCAATCGAAAGACGAATTATTTTCATGTTCTCAAACACCTGCTATTAAAAAAAATACGATAAAAAGAACAACATCAATCAATAAATCCAATGGTACAATGCCAAATATAACGAACAATTCAGTGCCACATTTTATACCAAGTAAAGAGATCTTTTATCTATAGAATAGAAATTGATATATTAGTTCAACTTCATGAAAAAAAGAATCAATTGAACACTTTATGAGTATTACATGAAATTGATACCATAAAAGTCATTGGACTTAATATTAATATAGATCAAGTTATCTGAAAGTCTATATAATTAATCTTAAAAAAAAAACAGAATATGTGAAAAAGAATACTTCAAATACTCCACATTCGTAATCGCACAGTTAGATATGAGCTGCTACTAGGAATAGGATCAACACTTTTTCAATGGAAACAATAACTTTAATGATTGTGCAAAAACTTGCATCTAATGTCATATTGTCATAACTCATGTCTCCTAAACAGATATGGATAAGATGGACTCGAAGCCGGCACAGGGCTTGGAGGTAACTCTTTTTTTTTTAGACCGAAGCTTGAACTAATTTTTTGGACCAGGATCATTACTAGTTGTTTTTTAGACTGAGACCGGAACTAATGTTGTAGGTCATGACCTGGCCTAGTTCTTAAGACCGAACATGGGACTAATTTTTTTTAGATTAGAATCGAAAATAATTGTTTCTATAGTCGGAACGGGATCAAAAAAGATTTTTCTTGTTCATGTTTATGTGCAGTTCATCTAAATATACTATTCTTCTCTGTTGAAAGTTTACAGGTATATTTACTGTATTCTGACAAAAAGAGAAAGAAAATTGGTCAATTAAGCATGATTTGATTCAGTACAAATATGAGAACATTCTATCAGCAGTGAAATATTAATTGCATGAACAAAATAGTCTATGTGTTTTCCTTCTTTTTTTTTTGTCTATCTTTTCATGTAAAGTATTACTTTTATATATAAAAAGCAATATTAATAAATTATTCTTTTAATGTAGATTCTCCTGCTGTATATACTCATACTGCAGGTCGATCTCGATGTTCATCAAATACTTCATCATCATCTCCATTATCTTCTGGTTCAACAATGTCTCAAGGTATAATGGTAACAAATACAACCATACCATCGTTAGCCATAGTTGGTGATGAAAATTTTCGTCTTTATGAATTAAGTGCTTTTGTTGAACCCAATCGAACAATAGCTGCAACACATCCGTCATTAATTTATCCATCATCGGAAGCATATGCAATGCATCAACATGATTTAGTTCGTTTACATACAAATGATATTCAAATGAAAAGTATTCAAACATTTGAAACAATATTAGTTGATCAAATATTTGATAAATTTCCTCATTATGATGGTTTAAAAGATTTATTTGAACGTAATCCATATGGATCATTTTTTTTAATTAAATTTTGGGCTGATGTACCCATATCATCACCAATGACAAGTTCAATAAATAATCGTGATGAATCATTTTTTACATCATTTACATATACAAGTTGCTCAAATCGTCCAATACATATTTCAACACGTTTATGTTCATTTGGTAAACAAGTCTTAGAAAAAGTTGAAACAAGTGAACATCCACAACGTGATCAATTCGATCAATATATTTATCGTTTTGATCGTTCACCACTATGTGATTATATGGTACAATTTATACAAAAACTTCGTTCTCTTCCAAACACTTGTATGATGAATAGTGTACTGGAGGTGAGACAACAAAAAAAGAAAATATCAACAATATCGTCACTTCTAATAATAGTAGTTGTATAGAATATCAGTGATACAAGTAGAAGATCTAGAGATAACAGCAAATCTTACTGTATAGGAATACTTTATGATATATTGAATTCTATAACTTGCTGTTTTTGTAAATATTACTATAGATAGAAGTAATCGTAGTAGTTAAAAACTTCTTTTAGCAATTTTCTTTATCGCGAACTAAAGTAAAACTAATGATAACTCTTCGCATTGTATATTTTTCAACAAAATGAATTAAAAGATTTAGAAGATAACATACCAATTATTGTATTTATTGAATATTCTAAATCAGAGTAAAACTAATTTTATCTTTGATTATAGTGTCAGAATATCTTTTCAATCTAATAGCTATCGTAAAAATGAGCAAATGAACTGTTATTTTTACATCCCACGCAAAACTTCTTGAATAAGGCTGTGGTTAACTGCGGTTTTAGTAGACCATGAAAGTCAGACAGCTGATTCGGTTTTTACAAAGCGGTGAAAATCGTGGTACGAAAATACTGCGGTTTAGACCGGTTTGTAAAAACCTAATAAACGATCGGGCTCTGGCAGCTTTATTCGAATATTTTTTTATGAGATGGTCGCACTTCATTCAGTTAAGATGCTACGGGTGATCAGACCTCGTTCAGCTAGGAGGATACAGGTGGCCACGTCTGCGTTCGGTTGGGAGGGCGCAGGCGGCAGCTTTGTTTGCGCCAAAGACTTACTGCCCCTACCTTCTTTTTAGGCACGATGTAGATCTCTGATTTCTTTGTTTCCATGAATATAAAAAAAAATGTGTATTTGTCATAAAAATATCATAACATGTACACCAATCAGTATATGTTTCAACATTGCATTAGATAGAAATTCTGTTTATTATCTAGGATAGTTTTTATAGTTTCAATTATGAAAGTAATTTTAAGATTTTTTATAATTATATTAATGGCTTTCGTATTTACTGCAATCTTTTCGTTTACGATTAAGGCAGGCACATGTTTTTTTTTTCTTAGAATTTAGTCAATAAAAATTTTTTTTCTTGTATTTTTAGAACTTTACTGTTCTTCAAGTGATTAAATGTCTAGATAATCCCGAACAACTTTTACTTTGTCTTGCTTTTGTTTTTGAAATCGCTATGTTTGATGCAGGTGGACCACAATATCAAGTGTACAAATTGGTTGCTAATTAAGAATAAAAACAATGATACAATCATATTTTTCTTTTTTGGTTCGGTGCCGTTCTTTTTTTCTCATTCTATGTATCTTCTGTATTTTTTTATGCAATTATTCTGTTCCTTATTCTTACTTAAATATACTTATTATCATTTTTTAGAACAGTGAGGTGTCGGTTTTCTTTTGCTCAATTACAGGGACCTGTAAGTGCTGTTCGAGCGTTTAATCAACACGTTTGTGAATTTTCTATCTTTGTTTAATATATGCCCAGTGATTACGGCATTCGTTCTTTTGTTTTCTTTCTTTCCGTTTGGTATTTTTCTATTTCTTTACATAACAATCCCGGTCCTTCTTATTTTCTTTTTTTGTTTATGAAAAACAATTCTTGAATAAAAACGATAATAAAAGATACGAATACATTAGTTATTTCGTTTGTTCTTTTGTTTTCACATTGTCTATCATATTCCAGATGGCAATGGCTTCTCAACATATGCAATTATTGCAATCATTTCGAAAAGTTATACCACCACTTTTATTTGATACACATAAAGGTGAATCTGGTCGTATTGGTGTTGTTGGTGGATGTGAAGAATATACAGGTGCACCAATTTTTGCTAGTATGGCAGCATTTCGAACGGGTGCTGATCTTGTTCATGTTTTCTGTGCAAAAAATGCGGCTATACCAATAAAAAGTTTTTCACCTGATCTAATTGTGCATCCACTTCTTGTAAGTTAAAATAGTTTTATTTATTTTTATTTAAGATTTCTTTAGGATTCGAAATCTTTTGCGGATGATATAGGTAAATGGTTACCACGTTTACATGCATTAGTTATTGGTCCTGGATTAGGACGAGATGAACATATATTATCAAATGTTGAACAATTAATTGGTATTTTACGTAAACAAGATCAACCAATACCAATTGTTATTGATGCTGATGGTCTTTATTTAATAAGCGAAAAACCTCATCTGATAAATAATTATGAAAATTGTATATTAACACCAAATATTATTGAATTTGAACGTTTATATGAAAAAGTAACAGGCGTAAAATCTAAGGAAATAAAACAAGAAGATAATAAAAAAAGATTGGCACAAAAATTAGCTGAAGCACTTCAAGTTAATGTCCTTATGAAAGGACATTTAGATACAATATCGTCACCACATAATCAAGAACCAATGCAATGTGGTATTGAAGGTTCACCAAGACGTTGTGGTGGTCAAGGAGATTTATTAGCTGGAGCTTTAGCTGTTTCATATTATTGGGCTATAAGAAATCGTAGCAAAATTGAACATCAACCAACAAATTCAGAGAAATCATCAGTTATAAATGAAAATCTAAATTATTTAT